CACCATGCGAAGCCTGTGAATGTGTGCAAAAGCACCGACAGTGTCCTTTCAGTCTGGTGACTCAGTAACCTTGAGATTGTGTTTGAAACTCCACGTGACTCCGTGACTCCCTTTGATTTGCCAGCATTGCAGGCACTACTTAGAGCAGGGTAAGTGGGCCATTACCAATCATTAGCAACGTAACTCTGCTTGTTTTTAATAACTTCTTTTTTCTCATTACAAAAGTAATGAGTTCATTATACACAATTAGGAAAATGCAAAAAAAGCCCAAAGAACATAAAAAAGCACCAATGTTATCAGAGATGTTAAAGAAAATGCCCCCTACCCCTTTAAGCTTAGCTCTTAACCCTTTACAGAAACTAAAAATTAGTGGAAGAGACAGTAAGACAGTTCATAACTAGCCTATAGAATGCAGGCATGCAAACTTAATAAATCAATCCAAGCTGCCTCCTGCCGACAACCAATCATTTAAAAAATTTCCTTCTGGGGAAATCCTCTAACAGTTTGTACTGTATATAAGCTGATCAAAATGATCTCTTTGGAGGGGTGCTCCCTGTTCTCAAACAGTTTTTTCTGCCCAATAAAACATTTTAACTCTAATTGACTTATTGCTCAGATTTTTTCTTTCAACAGGCATAAACACCAATATTTTGATGCATTTTCTTCCAGTTTTTTCCATGGCATGTATATATCTTACTTGGCATGCATACACATGGGATCATATTGTACATACTGTTTTAATCTGCTTTTATTACTTCCTAATATATAGTGGGAGCCCTGGTGGCACAATGGTTAAGAGCTCAGCTGCTAACCATAAGGTCGGCAATTCGAATCCACCAGCCTGTGGTGCAGTGGTTGAGAGCTACAGCTGCTAACCAAAAGGTTGGCAGTTCGAAACCACCAGCTGCTCCTTGGAAACCCGACGGGGCAGTTCTACTCTGTTTTAGAGGGTCACTATGAGTCAGAATCAACTCAACAACAACAGGTTTTTTTTTTAATATATAGTAAACATACTTCTATATGATTACTTTTCTCCAACATAACTTTTTTATTTTTGCAAAATATTCTATTGTAAGGAAAGACTGTAATTAATGTTTAGATTATTTCCAATTTCTTATTCTTAGACACACCGTTGTGAGGTATATTCTTAAATTTAAAACTCTGTACACATCAGTGGTTATTTCCTCAGGCAAAAATCCTGAAAAGAAGCTGTTAGAGCCAAGGGTTTGCATGTTTTTCAGATCTTTTTCATATATAATGCCAACTGCCTTCCAGAAAAGCTGCACCAAACTATACTCCCACCCACAGTGTATATATGTAACTCCATTTCCCTGTATCTTTTAAAAACAAAAACCAAAAAAACCCAAACCCACTGCTGTTGATTCTGAACCACAGCGACCCTATGTGTTACAAAGGAGAACCATCCATAGGGTTTTCTTGCCTGCAGTCTTTACAGAAGCATATTGCCGAGTCTTTCTTCCCTGGAGTCACTGGGTAGGTTAGAACTGCCAACCTTTAGGTTAACAGCCGAGTGCAAACCATTTGTGTCTCCCAGAGACCTTTCCTTATCAACATTATTTCTTGTAATAACAAAAAAAGTTTGTTATATTGATAGATGAAAATATGCACCTGTTAACTTTTATCTGCTTAGTCTTAGCTGAGAGTGGCAGTGGTGGGGCGAGAGAAGAGGGAGAAGGAAAGGAATGCTCTAGGGCACAGGGATTGTTAGTTTATTTTACAAAACAAAGTCAGAATCTGATATTTGAAAGTTGGAAAATGGAGTCCCTAAGGTTTCTATCATGATGGGGGAGCTTTTAAGCACAGGGTTTGGGAGAATCAGGTATTCTACTCCCTCCCCCCACCAGGGAGGAAGGCTCAGAGGATATACCTCTCCCTCTAACTGCCTAGAACAATGATCACAATTCAGTTAATCCAAACAGCCTAAGGGGCCCTGGATCTGTAGAAGGAAGCTCAGTTATTATCAGGCCATGTAAGTTTAGGTGCATCCTAAACCTCTCTGGTTCTGTTTCTTCATCAAGAAAGTAGGAATAACAACATCACACCTATATAACATACCTTGAAGATTTACTGTGGAATTGCCAGCCTATGCATTTGAAAATATTTTGTAAGCCTTAAATGCTACAAAGGAACGTGACAGAGGAATAAGATTCTAAAGTCATCAAGTAGGGTGAAAACTGAGTGCAATCAAAATTACGAAGCGAAATAATAGTATGATGCAACTTCATAATTGTTCTTCTACAATTTTTCTATTCAAGTCAAGAAACTTGCTCTTTACCTGCCTAATGGTGTAGTATATCTGGATCAGAGATTCATCCAACAAATATTTTCAGGGCTTACTATGTTTACTATATTTCAGGCTGCTGCGCTGGATTAGAACACCAGGAAGGAATCACAGTCTGACCACAAGAGAGAGGCTGGGGAGTGCTGAGGCACTTTCCACTTTGATTTGTGGAATCCTGGGGTTCTTTGATCACCTTCTAGGAGATGCAGCAAAAACTTAGAAAAATTATTATGGAAGGCTACATATTTTGTAGGAGCCTTGGTGGTGTAGCGGTTAAGGGCTTGGCTGCTAACTGAAAGGTGGGCAGTTCATTTCCACCTGCAGCTCCACAGGAGAAAGATGTGGCAGTCTGCTTCCGTAAAGATTTCAGCCTTAGAAACTCAACGGGGGCAGTTCTACTCTGTTTTGCAGGGTTGCTATGAGTCAGAATCAGCTCAATGGCAAAAGGTTTTTTGGTAACATATTTTATTATGAATGCCAGCTACAATGCTACATCTGATACAGATTAAATTACTTTGTTTCTTCTTTGTTGTTTATGTTGCTTTTTTGTGGGTTAACTTTTTTTTTCCAAACCAGTGTTAACTCTTAAATACTTTTTAATTGCAAAAGTAATAAAACACATGGAAAAATTCAAACTGTACAAAAAAAGTTATTCAATGAGAAGTAAATATTTCTGCTATTCCTGTTTCCCCCCAAGCACCCCCCCCCCATGTTATCATTGGGTGTATACTTCAAATGAAACAGTTCTCTTATGATTAATGTGATCCCTAGGGTCCAAAAAAAAAAAAAAGCACTGAACCACAAGATTTCAAGGGCCATTCCAGTTGTAAAATTAAGTCCATGTCTTTTGTAGGCTCTTTTGTAGCATCAACTCCACTGAAGCTGCAAAAGAGGTCTAAAGTTAGGGTTGGAAGAGAATAAGAGTGATGAATTCAAACTGAATTTAAAAAAATATATTAGATGTAGAGCTCTTTAAGGGCAGAGGGCAAGAGTCACTTTTATGGTTGTTGTTTTTGTTATGTGGCCTCGAGTCGGTTCTGACTCATAGCTAGCCTACAGGACAGAGGAGAACTACCCAATAGGGTTTCCAAGGAGCAGCTGGTGGATTCAAACTGCTGACCTTTTGATTAGCTGCCGAGCTCTTAGCCACTACGCCACCAGGGCTCCAATAAATGGTTTATCTACTGACTGAATAAAGGACTCGTCTAGGGTATCCACCACCTGTCAATGTATCATAAGCTGGTGGCTTACATGTTTCTGTGATGCTAGAAGCTATACACCAGTATTTCAAATCCCAGCAGGGTCACCCATGGTGGACAGGGTTCAGCAGAACTTCAAGACCAAGACAAAGAAGAAAGGTCTGGCAATCTACTCCTGAAAATGAGCCAGTAAAAACTCCATGGATCACAGCAAAATATTCTCCCATACAGTGCTGAAAGATGAACCCCCAAGATAGAAACCAAAAAAAACCCAAACCCATTGCCATCGAGTCAATTCCAACTCATAGCGACCGTACAAGACAGAGTAGAACTGTCCCATAGGGTTTCCAAGGCTGTAATCTCTAGAGGCAGACTACCACATCTTTCTCCCACAGAGCAGCTGGTGGGGTGGGTTGGAACTGCTGACCTTTCTGTTAGCAGCCCACCGCGCTTAACCACTGCGCCACGTACTCCAAACACACAGTGGCTACAACTATGGACTCGAGCATAGCAAGGATTGTGAAGATGGCTCAGGACGGGATACACGTTTCCTTCTGCTGTGCATGGGATCACTTTGAGTCAGAACTCACCGAAAGGCAACTAACGACAACTATGATGGAAGCTCCACGAGGCCAGGGACTTCAGTAAGAGTTCTGGCACACAAGAGGGGCTCCAGCACTGACGTCTGGGCCCTGACACAGAGGGACCCAGGGTGCGCTTCCTCACGTTACTCGCGCCCCCTCCAGCCCCCTAGCCACCAGCATCACGTGACTCGCGCTTCCCTTTAGATCCTCACCCACCGCCATCACTTAACTCACGCTCTCCATCAGGTCCGCGCCCACCCGCATCACCTGACTCGCGCCCCCTCCAGGCCCTGTCCCATCGCAGGGCTACCTCCGTCGAGCCCACGAATCGGCGAGGGAGGTCAAACTTGGCAAGGCCAGGCCAGCAGGGCATTCCTCGCGGTTGCGTATCACCCAGTCCGACCAATCTGCCTACGGCTCTCAAGAGGCCACCCTCTCCCGGTCCTGTCTAGCTAACCGCTCCAGATTGCAAACCAGAGGCGGAGAGGCTGGAAAAGGGCAAGCGCGCACGCGTGAAGCTTAGGGCGGAGCTTCAGAAACCAGAGCGTGGGCTCCAAGGGGAAGGGGAGGAGAGGAGTCTTCAGAGCGCGCGCGTGCGCGTTCCAGTCGCCCCGGCGGGCCCACGCGGCGCGGCGTGGTGACGCCCTCGCGGCCGAGGAAGGGGC